TCGGGCCAATATTCCCTTCCCACGTCAAAACAGTTTCTCCATGTATATTATGTTCTTAGAATAATAATGGAACTTATTGGTTAGGTCGTTGCAGTGGCTATGGGTGGTTCTTAAGAAGTAATTCAAATGAGCTTTGATAAACAATCCAAACCGCCTAAAAGCAACCCCTACTGTCCCAACCATATTAAGCATTAAATTTTTAGGAGTATTATGGCATCACTACAGCTGTGCGACTCTACGGGTTTGGACAGGAGGCGCGCTATATGCCATGGATTTTGGGCCTCCACCGGCTCTACTTAAACTACATCATATCCATATCCATACCCATACCCATAACATGTATGTATAGATGTATGTATGTATGTATACATGCATGCGTGTACGAAGAGAAATGGGAGTAGTAATGCAGGTACTTGGTCGGGTCAACTTCTGTTGCAAATCACCGATTTGGTTTGTTCATAGCATTTATAAAGGGTGCCCACTGGGGAGCTGGACCAACAATTTTTGTTTTCTTTAGATATATATATATATATATATGCACACTTAGTCTGATCAAAGCGAGGGCGAGGGCGCTTTGGGACAATTTGGAGAAGCAAGTGGAAGATCTTCCTTTCCCTACAACAACATCAGAAGATTCATAGTTTCAGGCCTTTTCCTTTCTTTCTTTGAAATCTTCCTTTCCTTAAAGGGGTAGAAAAAGACACCTAACTACACCAACTGAGTTCATTTGGGATTTACCGAAATGGTTGCTCCATTATCATCTTGGCCATGGGACAACTTTGGCATCTTCAAGGTATTTTTGGAGGTTAAATTTGATGAAACTATGGAATTTTAGTATTGGTAGATGAATTTGTTTGTACTTTGAATGTATGGTGCAGTATTTGCTATATGGGCCATTGCTTGCAAATGGGTTATACTCATTACATGTAGAGGGGAACATCACAAACAATTGGTGCCTCCATATTCTTTTTCTCTGTTTTCTCAGAGTGGGAGTTCATATAGCTTGGAGCTCTTACAGCACCATGCTTTTCTTGACGAGAAACCGCAGGATTCTCCAACAAGGAATTGATTTCAAGCAGATTGATATGGAATGGGAATGGTATGGAATTGCTTTTGTTTTCAATTACTTCATATGGGGTTGGGGAAAAAAGCTTAAAGATTCAAACTTTTTTTCAGGGATAACTTCTTATTACTTCAAGCTCTAATGGGTTCCTTGATGGTGTACTTGTTTCCTTCTCTTGGATATCTACCGCTTTGGAACGCAAAAGGGTTAATTGCAGTTCTGATCCTCCATGTGGGAGTTGCAGAGCCTTTGTTTTACGTGTTGCATAGATACTTCCACACTAAACACTATCTTTTTACTCATTACCATTCTCTTCATCATTCTTCTCCAGTCCCTCAGTCCTTTACAGGTGACCCAACTCTTCACAAACTTAAATCCCTTTTGGTTTATTTTCATTTCTCGTCTTGAATCTCTCAAAATTTTGTCTTTTGTGTTTTGTTTTTTCCAATAAAGCTGGAAATGGGACAGTTCTGGAATATCTTGCATTAAGTATGGTAATTGGAACGCCAATTGTTGGAACATGTCTTCTGGGGTATGGATCAACGGCCATGATCTTCTCCTACGTTTTAATATTTGACTTTCTCAGATGCTTAGGGCTTTCCAATGTTGAGATTGTCCCACATCGGCTGTATGAAGCAATTCCAGTTTTTAAATATCTGCTCTATAACCCAACGTAAGTACTCACCGTTCTTCACCCATTATCGATGAAATTAAATGCCTTTGTGGATTCTTGACACATCTGCCTCTTCGTGGTGCATAAATCGCTTTCATCATGCTTGAATAAGGTTCCAAAACAACATAAAGAGAAAAAATGAAGATTTTTTTTTTTTTTTTTGTTGCTGTTTTTACCGGTGGTTAAAGCTGAAAGGCGATTGATTGGCGTTTATGGACATTTTTAAGGTACCATACACTTCACCACACAGAGAAGAGAGCCAATTTCTGCCTCTTCATGCCTCTGTTTGATGCCATCGGAAACACAGTTGATGAGAAGTCATGGGAATTACATAAAGAGATAAGCTCAAACGCAGGTCCATTTCCCTTTCCCTGTCTTTTGCTATCGATGTTTGATATTTGTGGACATTAATTGCGTAACTAAATGGGGGGTTTTGGGGTTTTCAATGCGCGTTTTTGTTTCACTTTACTATCCGATTCAATCCTCATTATTAATGGGTAGTTACAACCTCTCATTTAGTGCTTAACCTCATAAAGATGCGCCTCCTCACGTTAACGCATTCAAAAAGCTTCATATATTCAAGATTTTTGGATGAGAAAGCATTTATTATGTTGCCAAAATCTACTATTCACCAAAACTAATATCTAACTCTCTACATGTTCTTCAACTTTAAAGCATAGTGGCTGTATTTTTGATGTAATGAGGGGTTTAATGACAATAATAATGAATGCAGGAAAAAACGGGAAGGTGCCAGATTTTGTGTTTCTAGCCCATGTGGTGGATGTTTGTTCATCAATGCATTCGCCATTTGTATCAAGATTCTTTGCTTCACACCCCTATGTTACAAGGTTGTTCTTGCTTCCAGCATGGCCCACTACCTTCATAGTGATGCTTGTGATGTGGGCAAGATCAAAAACCTTCCTTTACAGTTTTTACAACCTTAGGAAGTCGCTTCACCAGACATGGGTGGTTCCAAGATTTGGATTTCAGGTCATTTGTTTAATAATCATCTCCAAGTTTGGATTTTTGATCTCCGGGTTATATGAATGTTAATAAATTTGGTGTTTGGCAGTATTTCTTGCCATTTGCAAAAGATGGCATCAACAAGCACATAGAAGATGCAATTCTGAGAGCTGACAAGTTGGGGGTTAAGGTCATCAGCCTTGCTGCACTTAATAAGGTAGGGGTAGGAGGCTGTGCCTTTATTTCTTTTGTCAAAAGGTTTAATGCAACTCTGATCATCTCTGAATAGGGTTGGTGACGGAAATTAATGACTTTCAGTCGGTTTAATCTTCCTCTTCCTACCCGTTTGTGTAATGTCCTAAGCCTATCGCTAACAGATATTGTCTTTTTTGGGATTTTCCTCTCGAGCTTCTCCTCAATGTTTTTAAAACGTATCTGTTAGCGAGAGGGTTTCCACTCTTATAAAGATTATTTTGTTCTCCCCCTCAATCGACGTGGGATGTCACAATCCACCTCTGGGGTCCAGCGTCCTCGCTGGCACTCGTTCCCTTCTCAAACCGATGTGAAATCTCACAATTCATCCTCCTTCGAAACCCAGCGTCCTCACTGACACACGTTCCCTTCTCCAACCGATGTAGGATCTCATAATTCACCCCCCTTCGAGGCCCAGAGTCCTTGTTGGCACTCATTCTCTTCTCCAATTGATGTCGGATCTCACAATCCACCTGCTTCGAGGCCCAGCATCCTCGCTGACAATCATTCCATTCTCGAACCGATGTGGGACCCCCCAACCACCACCCTTTAGGGTCCAGTGTCCTCGGTTGGGGAAGAGAACAAAACATTTTTTATGAAGGTGTGGAAACCTCTCCCTAGTAGTAGATGTGTTTTAAAAACGTTGAGGCAAAAACGTGAAAGTACAAGCCCACCGAGGACAATATCATCTAGCGGCGGACTTGTGACGTTAGAATTGGAGGCATTTAAGAGTGGCTTTGTTTTAGTTATTTACCTCATATATAATTAATACTTCAAAGATTTAAGATTTGGCAAGATCCAAGAGGGATGGATAAGGAAACATAGAGTGAAATAAAAGAAATATGATTGAGTGATCGGTCTGAAATAACATATTTGGGGTTTTGTGGACAGAATGAAGCTCTAAATGGTGGGGGCACACTTTTTGTAGACAAACATCCAAATCTTAGGGTAAGAGTTGTGCATGGGAATACCCTAACAGCTGCTGTCATTCTCCATGAAGTTCCAAAGGATGTCAAGGAAGTGTTTCTAACTGGAGCCACTTCCAAGCTTGGAAGAGCCATCGCCCTCTACCTCTGTCGAAGGAAGGTTCGAGTCCTTGTAAGTTTCTCTTAGGCCGCATTAACAAATTAATACAAAACTGTATTAGATGCTCTGTTTCTGAACATTTGCCCCCTTGTAGATGCTTACACTTTCCAAGGAAAGATTTGAGAAAATACAGAAAGAAGCCCCTGTGGATTGTCAAAACTACTTGGTTCAGGTGACCAAGTACCAAGCTGCCCGCAGTTGCAAGGTAACTAACATTAATTTAAAAAAAAAAAAAAACTACTACTTGCTAATTAAGATATGGTTGATGTTGATGTGTTGTCAAACTCCAACAGACTTGGATCGTTGGGAAATGGATCACTCCAAGAGAGCAGAGTTGGGCCCCAAAAGGAACTCACTTCCATCAATTTGTAGTCCCTCCCATCTTGGCTTTCAGAAGAGACTGCACCTATGGCGACCTCGCCGCCATGCGCTTGCCTGACGACGTCCAAGGCCTTGGCAACTGCGAGGTATCAGTTTACATCATTTGGTTTGTTACGATACCATATTAAATTATAACAACTCACCAAGGTGGTTGTGTGTTTGTTTGTTTGTCTGTCTGTCTGTCTGGGCAGTATACGATGAGCCGAGGAGTGGTGCATGCGTGTCATGCGGGCGGTGTGGTGCACTATTTGGAAGGATGGACTCACCATGAGGTTGGGGCTTTGGACGTCGACAGAATCGACCCTGTCTGGGAAGCCGCTATAAAACATGGCCTAAAACCAGTCTCATCCAATTAACCGCATTTTTTTTTATGTGTATTACAATTGTTTGGGATTTTACATTACGAATTAAACAAATGTGGTGTAGTTCTTTCTCTTATGATGTTTTATATGATGAATAAAAAATTAAAAGAAAAAAAGAAAAAACAAAATGCTCCCACAATAATTAATCTTATAGACATGAAAGTGGGCCTTTGAGCCCACTGAATGGTTTGTTATCTTATTCCTACGTGTCAAACTCTCGGATCCTCCAATATCCGTGGCGCATCCCTGTTCCAGCACGTGTATCATCGTCCCTCAAAACCCAACCGCCGAAGCACAATCTAGCACCATTTCGACTCTGTTTCTGGGTGTTGGGCAAAAAAGAAACAAGAGAAAATTAAAGGGATGGCGAAGGAAATGGTGCACGTTGAGAGTGGCGGCGGGAATGTGAAGAAGAGAATGATGAAGAGGAGGAGGAAGAAGAAAAACATTCACAAAGTGATCGATTATCTGTTATCTGATTGCTACTTGTTTGCTCCTCTAATTTCTCCTTCACCCTTCAATTCTTATCGCGCACCCAGAAAAGGTTCATCCTTCATCTCAGATATCGAAATTAGGGAACGCCCAAAAGATCATCGGAGTTTTCTCAAGAAGATGGTGGATTATTTGAAATCCGATTGCTACATGTATGCTTCTCTCGTTGCACCCCAATCCTTCAAAGGTACTTAAACTCCTCCTTTATACACAGCGATTGTGTGCGTGTGTGTGTGTTTGACGAGTGCACTGCAAATACAGGGCGTGCTGGGTATGTAAAAAGGGTAGTAACTACGGAAGTGTCGGCGAGAAGATTAATTCTCAGAGGGGACGAAGTTATGAGTGAATCCGCTGCGAACATGACTAAAGAGAGGAGAATTTGCAGCACCGATTTAATGGAAGCGGAGGTTGTTATGGATCAACCAAATGCGACAAGAAAGGAGCCACCTTTCTCACTTCACATGCCTGCCACTCGATGCTCTGTTCGCAATCAAAACACGCCTCGGCCTATTCGTATGGCTTCATAATGGACCCTCTCCCCTGTATTTGATAATATGTTTCAGTTTGACTCTAATAATAAGTCTATAAAGTGTTGAATATATATAGTTTTGAGGTTTAATTATGAATGGCATGATACATGGAGGGTTCTGTTTTTTGGTGTGTCAGAAATTGAGGCTTCATGTACCATTACTGACACCCAACTCTGTTAAAGAAGAGGCGCAAATCACGGGCTGTCATTACCTTCTATCTTCTTCCACTAATCTTCCTCTATACATATTCTAAAAAAATTAACATTTTTTTGGGGTATAGGGTTTGGTGGTGGGACATGAACTCCATGTGCTTGCATGTGCTATGTCTCTCTCTAAATGCCCCACCTTGCCCTGCTTTAACCACATAAATTCGTTTCTGCACATTCTTCTGTTTCTCATGCTTCCCTCTTCATTTCTCTCTCAATTTTACACTTTTCATCACTTTTTCTCAGGTATGTTCATTTTCTTCTTCTTTTTTCCTTTTTTTTATGCACAACCCATGAATTAAATTCGATTCAATCTCCGGCCAACAATTCATGGTTTTATCTGTTTGTAATATATATGTATGTTGCAATATCAGAATGCGCAATCCCAGTTGTTTAAAACGAGAATTCTTGAAGAAATGGATGATGGGTCTTGAAATATACACAACCTCCAACAAAAACATGACGGTCACCCAGAGAAAAAACGCCATAAAATTATCCGCAGATATAGCCTTGGCCTCCTCCAGAAACTGCGCCACTCGGTGGAGTCAAGCGCTCATCGCCGCCACCTCCGTTGACGACGGAAGCCGCCTCGTGGCCGATGTCCTTCTGGGCCGGACTATTAACCCCAAAATTACGCGAATTATGTGGAGTAGTGGGAAGATTGTCAAAAGAAGCCGCCGCGTGCAGCGGATGAGAAGAAAATGTAAGAAGCCGGCGGCGGAGTTGATTGCGAAGAAGTTGGTGCGGAAAAGAAGGAAAGTTCTTCGGGGATTGGTTCCGGGAGGTGAATTTATGGATGAAATTTCATTGATAGAAGAAACCCTAGACTACATATCCGCGCTTCAAGCTCAAGTGGATGTAATGCGATGCCTTGCGACTGCATACATAGCATCATCATCATGAATACCCAAACATAATTATAATCAAACCCCCTTTTTGTTTTGCACATATATGTAGAGCTAAATTTGAGGTTAATGTTAGTGATAGTTTGGGATCATTTTGTGAGTTTTATGTACATAATAAATGTTTATGTAAGTTAAGACAAATATGAATTTGTTTGGTTCAAAGTTTGAAGCATTTATTTGTGTATTGAATGTGGCGTGTGGATTCCATAATGGAGCATTTAGTTAGGGAAGAAGGCCAAATCCAAAGCCGATAGTGTTCATGCATGTTGGAGAATGAGTGTATCGTGAGTTTCTTCAACATTATTCTTTTGGCACAATGTTTTGTTCATAAATGCTCAATCTTGATAGCGTGACAGCACGTTGTTAAATTATTGGGTTTCTAATTGGTGTGGTGTTTGAATTCAAAGCTTGGAGTTTGATCCATGTCTAGTTTCAATCTGGGTTTTTGTGTTGTTTGAGTCATAATATATGCTTGGTTTCATAGCCATTTAGCTCATGAAAATATTTGGGATTTGACCTTTTGAGTAAAGGGTTAGAGTCAATTAGGTCAAATTCAATGTTGTATGTTGCTAAAATGGTTGTCTTACAACGACATACAACAATAAGGAATGTGTCATGTCATTTTTTACAATTATTTTTTTGTGGTCGTTGGATTTCTATACATGTATTATATACCGTTCAAAAGAAATATTGTACAGTGTGTGAGGTCCTACATAATTAGAGAGGGGAACGAGTGCCATGAAGAAAACATTCATTCCCTTCTTTGGGCTTTCTCTTCCGGATTGTGAGATCCCACTATTGGGGAGAAGAATGAAACATTTTTTATACTGACGTGGAAACCTTTCCTTAGCACATGCGTTTTAAGAATTTTGAGGGGAAGCCCAAAATGAGAAACTCCAAAAGAACAATATCTGCTCGCGGCGAGGTTGGGCTGTTACACACTGCTAACATATATTATCCGTTTTGACTCGTTACGTGTTGCCATCAGCTTCACGATTTTAGAACATGTCTACTAGATACTCTTATGCATAATGTTTCGTTTCTCTAGAATTCACATACATGAAAAGATATAAAGATTACGTATATGACGAATTCTTATACTAAAGCGTAAAACATATTATGTTTAAGGCGGGATAGATTCGATTAAATTATGGGTTTTAAAAAAGTTATATTCATAAAGAAAACGACATTATGCATTTTAGAGCGAGACCCAACATTGATTTTGACTTATTATAAATATCAAACATTGAGAACAGAAAATAATAATTAGAATATTCTGTGGTTTTAGTATCCGATAAGAAAATGAAACAAAGATATACACGCTCCATGGCCCATGTCTTGTCCCAAACATGATGGACCAGTCATCATTTAATGGGCCATTAACAAAACCTTAGGCCCATATCGATTTCTAATGAAATGGGCCTATACATAATACTAATTTTGATTAGGTTCAAGCATACTTTTCCAACAATTTCATGCTTGATATTTATTAATAAATAATAATATTATAATATTATTAACTAACTTTATATTAAATTTTTTTACCTAGTTATATTTACAGGCCGTATTAAAAAAATTAATAATACATAAACAGTGGTGTTATGTCACTTCATATAAATGCCGAAATAGAATAGAACCAAAAGAATGTGGAAATGTCTCTATTATTGGGAGCACACTATACTATTTTGTATGGTTTTCCACTTCACACCACCACATAAATTACCTTATATTTTTTATAAAATAAATAAAAAAGAAATTCGATTGTTAATTAATAATATATATATATACACACACACGATGTAATGATTGAGATTCATGCTTCGTTATCATAATCTTAAATAAATTAAAAGAGACTTTCGACATAATGAACGAATTTTTTTAGTCACATGAATATAATGATGATCGAGACGACACCTTTAACCGAATCTTTTGGAGAGTTAATAATAATTAACACGAACCCTTTTCTCAATGGTAAAGTAATTAAGATTTAAAAGGGAAGAAATAGTTAGAGTATAATGATGGGATGATGCCCACATTCCTTTTTTTGAAGAAAAGAAAGCAACACACACATCAATCATGCATGTCTGCAATTACTTTTAACGAAGATATAAGTTGTCCCTAGAAAGAAGCATGGTTCGGTTATTATGGGTTTTTATGAAAATTTATAATGAAGGGGGTGTGGCCCTTGGACAGCTCTTGCAAGCAAAGCTACCAATGCAGCAGCAGCATTTAATGCTGCTTTTTTGGTGCATACCTACACCCTCTATGGTTTAGATTTAAAGGACATTGGTTGGTATAAGCTTTATAAATGGTTTTATCCCACAGGCCCTTTCCATATATATATATATGCTTCTTTAGTGGTCGCCATGTGTTTACCATATTCATATCTTTTCTATGCAATATAATATGTCCAAACACACCCTTTCCATCTGTCAAATCCCCTCCTCATCCATTTAACTATTTCATTGCCTTTTTTTAAATTTTATTATTTTACCCCTTTCAGATATATAATTTCTTTTTACGTGGTACGGATCATGTTTGTTTACTGTGTCAGAGACGGGAGAAACTGGGTTATATATGGGGTTTGTGCAGCGCAGCATAAGAACTGAACTTCCTCTCTCACCTCACCTGCTTACAACTTCTGATTATTACTCCAAATGGAAGCCAATGGGAATTTGAGTAGCGCTTCTGCTGCACATCCTGAGACGATGGACGTGCTTTCACGAGCTTGGTGCAATTTTGCTGTTCAAACTCTTAACCCTGAGCTGCAACCTGATCAATCTCTTGCTCTTATAGACACCCCCATCAAAGATCTTGACGTGACCCTAACTTCAGATCCTTTTCCGGTGAGAAAATTCAAACGAACCCATTTCTTGTTTTTGTTTATTTTTTTTACAAACAGGAAGATGGAAGTAATTAATGGGGTTTCTTAATAGATGCAGAAAGTGGAGAAACCTGTAAAGATGGAAGCAGAGTCCATACCACCGTGGAAATCAAATGATATGAAGGTAACCAAATTGCTTGTGGTTTGGTTTCATTTTGTTAAATACACGAAGATTCTTAACTTTTTTCTTTTGTTTTCAGTCGTTTATATGGATGCAACAAGCAATGCATCCGGAGTTGAACTACAGTAGTTATTTCCGAAAGAAATGGGTAAGTCTTTCACTTCATGGAAGAAGTATTGATGTGAACAGATCTCACCAAAGAGAAAATGGGTATTGAACTATTGATTTGAACACTAATTAATATGTTATGATATGGACAAAAAGTAGCGACAGGACCAAGAGAACTTGACCCCCAAGATTCATGGGCCAAAGAAATAGTTCATATATTTCATAAAAAGTAATAATAAAATTATTAAACATTTGAACTCTTAGTTCACATGTTCGTATTTAAATTCAGTGTACATTGCAGTTTCAATGGAAAATCGTGCCATTCAAGAACTTGTCGATAAAGAAATGGCTAAAGGAGATAAGACAGAGCAGAAAAGAAGAGGATAGGCTTCAGAGGGCTGAAATTCATGCAGCTATATCCGTGGCAGGTGTAGCAGCTGCACTTGCGGCGATTGCAGCCGACACCTCGAGATCAAGAGATGACAACTCAGACTGCGGCGCGAGGGATGCTGCTGTGGCTTCTGCAGCCGCATTGGTGGCTGCACAGTGCGCACAAGTGGCCCAAGCAATGGGCGCCAAAAGGGAACAGCTTACCACTGTAATTGGGTCAGCCATGAGCAGTATCACAGGCACTGATATTCTCACACTCACAGCTGCGGCAGCTACATGTACATACTTTATAAATCTGAGCTATAATATCTGGCTGTTGTGCTTGTTGTGTAGTTGAATTGCATAATCTTTTGTGTTTTGCAGCCTTGAAAGGAGCGGCCACGCTTAAAGCAAGATCTGAATACAGAAACAAGTCAAGTGGAGTTGCTTCTGTGCTACCTATAGAAGACAACCATGAGGTTCAGATTGATTTCAATCTTGAGAAATCAAGATCCACGCTCGCCAAAGGTGTTCTTCTCAAAGTTGAGTCCCCAAATGGTAAGATCACAAGTACTTCAAATCACAAACCTTTTAAGTACCAATCAAATCTTTATTTTCTTTCACTAAAAAAAGTTTTTTTTTTTTCAGGAAAGTACAAGAAGAGATCCATCTCTATCATCCAAAACAGTGACACCAAGGTTTGATTCTCAATTCTTCATAGGTTTCATGAAATAATCTCATGTGTACCCGCTTTGTTGATTATAGAGTAAAGACATTCACCGCTAGCAAATATTGTCTTCTTTAGATTTTCCCTTCCGAGCTTCCCCTCAAAGTTTTTAAAACGTGTTTGATAGGGAGAAGTTTCTACTCTTGTCCTCTTTGGGCTTTCCCTTTTAGAATTTCTCTCAAAGTTTTTAAAACTCGTCGTCCATTTTAAGCTTTCTCTTTCAGGTTTCTACTCAATGCTTTTAAAACGCGTCTACTAGGGAGATGTTTCCAGCTTTTCCTCTCGGGCTTCCCCTCAAAGTTTTTAAAACGCGTATGTGAGGGAGAGGTTTCCACCCCTTATAAAAAAATGTTTTGTTCTCATCTCCGCCTAATGAATTTTGCAGGTAATTTTGAAGGTAAAAAAACTCAACATGCTGAAGACCAAACAAGAAAGTAAGTCATTTTCACTTCAAAATACCATTCATTTGAACTACGTAAGGGCTTTGAGTCCATTATCTTAACTGCTACATTGTTGTATCCAGGCGTTGTGTTGGATATGTACATTGAGCTGTACAGACATGAAAATGAAGATGATGAGGACAACAATGAGGACGAGGAGAGTAATACATGCTATCTCATTGTGTTGACTACAAATAAGGGCACATTCAAGCTAGATATGGAGAACGATTATCAAAAATACAAGATCTGGGCAACCACCGTAAATCAAATGCTCATGCTTTCTGCTCATTCTTTCACAAGATTATGAACTTTTCTATTTCCATGTTATGGTGTTGCTTTATGCACAATGCTGTGTTTCCATAATTCTATATTTGTAATTTAATTATATTGTGTAATTAGATTTGGTACATATTTTCATCTAATATCATCTCATAATTTTGCTTTCTTATATAGAAATGTGTGTAAATTATCTCCTTCAACCTCTCAAGAAATAATGTCAAATGCTAATTTTCGTTTTATAGTAGAGTAAGTCTATAGTCCAAGTAACCATGTTCCAATAACGTTAGCAAGATTAATATTTAGCTGATATTGACTACTTTATAAATAGTATCATTAATATAGAGAGTTGTCAATTCAATATTTTCATGCTATATTATGAATTATGGAGAGGGACAACATATCCACAGAATTTTACAATGAATAGAATTGTAGTAAATTAAAAACAGAAATGATCTGTGTACCGGTAGAGAGAGAAAATTGCACGTAAAATTATGAGCAAAACTCTATTCAGTGCAATATCAGAGAAGTTCTGAGAGAGCAGTCCACAGGAGAATCCTGCGTGGTCGATCTAGAAACCTGGCTTGCCAAGCAGGTTCGTCACTTTCATGGACAAAACCACTCTTCAAGTAGAGGTTCTTTGCGGGTTCGTTGTCGAAAGCTACGTGGACGTATAGATCACTGATGCCTAAAACATTAAAACATTGCATCACAAATGACAGTTTTTCATGGAGAAGTGTCACCATAAACGCTAAAGACCACATTCTAAAACAGAAGCCATAAAGACGGAGATGCTGATAATTCATAAAGATCATGACCATATTTAACATCAATGAAATTGTGTCACAAAATGGTTACCCCAATCTTCCGCAATTGTCTTTGCCTTTGCAATAAGTGCAAAACCCAACCCATTTCTGTGCACTTCCTTGGCAACACATACATTGCTCAGGTATGCCCTTGCGAAATCGGCACCAATTCCCTGTTGGAAAAGTATTTTAGAAATACTTTTATCATGAAAAATCAACTCACGACCTAGAATCAGATCTATGTCAATACAAGGTTCAGATAAATTGAAACATACAGTTGCGTGAATGAATTTGGAAACGATGTATGAATTCTAGAGTGTGTCAGGAACATTTCCAGTGAAATGTCAAAACAAGGGTGTACTTAATTGGAGACAAACCTCACTAGTCATTGAAGATTACAGGAAACAATAGATGATGTGGAAGGATGTGCAACTGCAAAGTGTGCCCGCCCGTATGTGTTTTCTTTAAAAGAAAGGGTAAGAAACAACTCTCAAATGAATGAAGGACTACATAAGAAATGGAAGAAACCAAGCACAATAAAACCAAAAATAATAAATGGAACCCCTGTTAGTTAGCTATTAGAATGAAAGAGACTGGAAGACGCAACATCAGAAATTTATGGACAATCTGGCAGACTCCAGGCGATAGTTCTATCAAAATGGAGAAAGCAATCAATGAACCATATGTTGAGATAGTAGAGTTGGAATTCAAGTTGAAAATAAACTTTGCAGAACTCTCTCTCTGATTAGGTAAATCAGCAAAGGTATTGGACGTAGTGGCCTGAAGCAGCTATTTATAGAGCACAGATATAGAAGGATTCTTAGTTGGAACTAGGAACCCATTGAAAATTAATCAAAGTGGAAGTAACATTTGAATCCATTATGTCAAAAGTCTCCATAGAGTTATCATATGCAAGGAGGAAGCTACTAGCCTTTTGTATGGTTGAAGACTTGATTCTTGAGGTGATAATTCTCATGACAGAAATTAATATTTGGGTTCAAAATCAGTTAAAGACACTCTTTACGAAGTTATCTTTTCATCCATGATTTGACCGAAAAGGCTAGCAAATCAGATAGCTCTTCATCTTATAAAGATATTTCTAAATGGAGAGATATCCTTCATTCTGATTTGAAGGAGCCCTTGCATTGCTTAACCTTCGCGTTACACTGCATGGCAAAAGGCCTTTTGAGTGTTACCCAGATCTCAGTAATACTGCAATTACCAACCTCAGACTACACAGCCTCAGCAATTTTAACAACTAAATACAGGAGACAAGTAATCGATCCTAACAGTTCCAGAGTGAGTATTCTTGGCTGATGTACTGTTGTCATTCTCCAATTCAACCAAAATTTCAGCACCTATTCAACTTTCTAGGCCAACACTCTTATCATCATTCTGAATTGAGTGAAACTGACAATGCTTGATGTTAGTGCAGCCAGATTATAAGATCAAGGATTGGACGAAATTGAAGGTGATAAAGTCTTTCGAGTATTAGCTGCTATAGCTTACAGAAGAATATTCTGCGAAGGCTTTGTTCAACTTCAAGTCCTACTCTGCTATTCACACATATGAAGCTCTCCCTTATATTACACGTTCAAATTAACCAACCTGGTTTTTCAATAACAATAATAGAACACATACTGTCCAATGATCTGAATAATGGCAAACACATGGAGCTACCAAATTCTGATAAAAAAAAAACAATCAAGAGCTAAAAAATTCCAGTTTTTGGATAATAAATAATAGTCAATATTTTGAATCCACATTTTTCACGTTAAACAGAAATTGGGCCAAGAAGGTGACTCTGATTTTCGTAGATAATAATGAGACGTGTTCATGACCAATTATTCAAAAGAGTGAAAAACATAATTTAAGAAACTAAAGAATTAAAGAAATTGATCATTTACCTCAGGTTTCATTCCCGCTATTTCATCTGGAAGCCTTATACACTGATTAAGGTCAAGTGATCCAACAACAACTCGGTCCTCTCCATCATCAGAAAACTAAGAGAAAATGATAATAAAATAAATAAATAAACGATTCGAGATCGGAACAAGTAGAACTTGTAGAATTGATATAGTGTAAACTAAGACATGAAATGTTGCATAATCTTCTTCAATCAACTAAAAATCAACAGCAGCAGGAAAGGATAAAACATGGCCAGAGCATTACAAATAACATTCTAACTTTTTTGCATTAGAAGATCCTGCATTTACATAAAGAGGAAAAAGTAGCCAATATACTTTTTTTTTTCAATCTGCCTGATTCCTTTCCCACCTCTGATTATGCCTTTTGTGAGCCCACATCTCTTTTTCAGGTATAAGATTTTTTTTTCATAACTTTGGTATGCACACATTATCAAACAACATTGCTTCCAACACATTCATTATCTAAACATGTCTAGCACCACAGAGGCAATTCACCTCATGCGAGGTGAGGCTGCATGATTAATACACGTGCCTTGCTTGTCCTGCAATATCAGCTAGCTTTCTCTTCTTCATTGCAAACGAAGAAAATAAATAACGTCTTTAATTTTCTGAAATGAAGGCTATTTCTTCAATCAACCTCTTCATTTTTCATTGTCTCATACTTCTCAACACCATTTTTCGCAAATAAAAATGTAAGAATTTACATAACCCACAGAACTTATTGAAACTTCAAAGTTTGAAATTCCTAAAGTGATCTAGGGATGGAGTACATACATACTATTCATATGGGAACGATGAAGAAATAAACGGACCTTACATGTTGAACATAAATCATCGGCTAGGGTTGATATTTCGGCTAATGGAAGAGTAGCATTTATGCAAGATACTCTTTTAAAGCTAACCCTTTTTCCAGCAATACGTTCTTGAATTGCTTCATATTCGTTCTCTGCCAAGTACCTCTTATGATCCTAATAGAACTTGACAAGAAAAAAAAAAAAAAAACAGAAGTAACGGCATCAGTACAGCAAACGGAGAGCAAGAAATACTACGTGAAAAGTGAAGTCTTAATCACGAGGGATTTGAAATGGCAGCTAAGACAGGCCAGCCTCACGTTTCATTTATCCATCTCTATCGTTTTTCTTATCTACAATTCCCTTCTATCTCAAGAATCCACGAGTGTTCTCTCCATTCGAGTCCATTATCAATATACACAGCATACTTGTATCCACAACCGATGAAAGTATGCAAATGTGCACTCAATGATGTTCTCAAGTTGTCGATAATGATACTCTTAAGATAAAATACCAAATTGATAATTTGGTCTCCAGTTCTCAAACACTTGAATAAATTGACTCCCGATAAATTAAAACATCAAAAAGAAAATTGCTATCAAATTTTCATACATTCAAATCTTAGCCCCAGAACTCACACGGAACTTCCAACAGATTTCAATTGAACTCAATGACTCACGTCGATGTCATAGGAATCGGGGCGGAACTGATTAAAGGTGCGAACGCGAAGACAAGCAGCAGCCCAAAGCTCATCCTTGGAGGTAGCTTCGGAGACCCTCAACTTAGATTTGTCAACTGTGATCGTCCGTTGGTGGGTGAAAACGTTTGAGACTCTAATGGGTGGAGGACAAGGAAAACAGGTTGCAGGAACGGGTAGTTGGGTTGTAGGGAAAGAGAAAGAGTTGGAAGAGAAGAATGAAAGCCAAGAAAGGGAGGAAGATGAGGATGATGAAGAAGAAGGCCGATGATGGCGCCAAGCGCAGAGAGGAAGAGATGAGAGGACCGCCATCCCTCCTTCGCTCTATGATCGTGTGGTTAGAATATGGATAATGCTGCCAATTCTATAATTCCGATCTCTTTGCTTTATTATTTTATTTCATACACAAAGACTTGATTTGTCTTTTCTCTTTTAGAAATAAATAAATATTTTCCTAATATTGTAGCTATTGCATTTGCCTCTCTAAAGGCGAATATTAGAAATGTGAAATTTTCAAGACTTATATGAACCAATTCACTCATATAATTTATATGATTTATTCATTTGGGTCAATCTAATCTATCTAACGAGTTAACTTATTAATAGAGATGACAAGGCGTGACTCTAAATCAATTTATTAAGGTCCGCACTATTCTTCTTTAATTTATTTTATAAACTTACTCTTTTTTTTTCGTGTGGATCAAATTAACATTAATTGATTTTTTGGAAAAAAAAAAACAATTTATACATCTAAATTTTGGGTTTTTTATTATAAAATTTTTTAACAAAAAATTATATTAATTTAAATCTTTAACTTTAGAGTAATCAATTAAATTCTTAAACTAATAAATTGTCCCAAACAAATAAATGGTCCCAAACAAGTTGAATTATGGTCACTTTAGTAATTTAAGGTCTTTAACCTTACTTTTATGACATAATTCTATAATTTGGTTTGGATGATCTCCAGTATTTACAAGTTTAGAATTAAAAGGTTAAAAGTTGGTAATTTCATTCTCAAATAATTGAATCAAGAAAGATTGAAAGAAGCATAAACCAGATCCAAATATTATCAGGCATTTACTCCAGGGAATACATAATGATTAGCTCCAGAAGGGAATGACCCATGAGAACTTGATTGCCGGAGCCCAGGCCTTCAATATCTGGCCAAGTGGTTCCCGCAAGTTCCGGTTGGCATAGCATGGAACTCAAGAGTGGCATATATCCGGAGTTTTTCGGCAGGCAATGATTGATGGAAGTCTCAGGCAGCAAAAGGAAACCCCCAGAGGAGTATCGTGAGCACGACACAACTCGTGAGATCGGAGCTGGGTAGCTAAGGGGGTAGGTTTTGATGGTGTCTCTTGAGAGCATTGGCATATTGGAAGTGACAAGCTTGTTCTTGCAATCTCCTTAGCGATGGGTACTTTAACTGGAAGCTTAACGAAAGAGACTATGCCATTGCGGCAGAGGGAGCAAGAAACTGAACCTGGAGGGCCACGAGCAAAGGTTGTCCCACGGTTTGTACAACAGAGGTACAAGGCACATCTTGTGCAGAATTCATGATCACAACCTGCAGGGGATTCAACTTCTTATCACCCTTCTACAACCCCACATACTAACAGCCTGGGCTAAGTATATAATTTAGCTACTCATCAATTTTCTCTCTATAGTATTTCAAAAGTTGGGTTTCAACCAAATCATTACCATCACACCACTTTAAAACTCACTAACAATATATTTTATTAACCGAGCTAGATGGAAATAACCCATGTGTTAAGCATCCAAGTTCAATTTTTTGCACATACTTCAGCAAACTTGTTAAAGCTTTAATGGAATGATTTAGCAACAGAAATGATGCTTTACATAAGCTAGGTTATGCAAGTTCAGAAAATAAGAATATCACAATGGTCTAATCAAGTACATGATGATATTGTAAAGGTAATGATATATATATACCTTCAGCAGCTACCGCACACTTCCTCTCCAAGCAGACAACGCATGGATCCTGGCATCCGGGGGCAGATTTACTACTCCATCCATATTCTCTGCAAATGGATCCAAAAGCAATGCAGAAATCAATTTTGTTCATTATGCCAACATTCTAAATCAACTGGACGCCAGACTTGCCCTATATAGAGACAGAAAACAAACTCTCAGCTTGTTCTATGATTTTCTAAACCATTTACATTTTAGTAGAACAACTTATGTCTTCAATATCTTGTTCTGTGCCAACCCAATCAATGTGAGCTTAGCCTTGAGGGGGCAGAGTGAAGAACTGTAACAAGAATGCCAGAAGCATATATTCCATGATGTAGTAACCAAAAGTTGCCAATATTGTCAAGAAAGTTGGTGGCTCCCGAATAAACGAAGAGTTCGTCATTTTATTTTCCACGAATAAAAGTTGCTTTGTTTAGAAGGAAAGAAACGATGAATGGTGCTTTGAGCATAGAGGAGAAGTTAGAAAAACAGTACCATCTCAATACGTGTTTTATAAGCGTTAGGAGATTTTAGGAAATTTTCCATGAATAAAAGCATAATCCATCTAGGTACAAATATCTGAAATCAGAAATAGAATAGACATGTTTGAGCAATAACTCGTAGAAAAGCCAAAATGCTCTTGTTCTCTGAAGTTCGTCTAAACTCTAGATTCCAAAGAAATAGTAAGCATACTGGACAATCACGATGGATACGCTTAAAGAAGTTATATGCTTGCATTCATCATTGTGTGAAGGATGAGCAGTACAAGGAAATAACAAATACCTAGCAATTTGAACAATACTCATAAGGGGCAGCGACAGGTAATGAGAGGGAGTAAGTTTTGGCCGGTCTATAGGCTCTGTGCTGAGAATGTCCTCAAGCCAACCTTTATGCCATGAGCGAGCAACCATCAATGGTGTCCAACTGCGTTATTGATATGAAGGGAATGACCCATCAGTGTCATAATAATACCCTAAACTTTTATTCTAACACCATTCCTATCAAATTCTTCATGGCCACTACTGCTTTCAGTTTCAGTTTAAGGAACGGATCCCGGATATGCCCAATTAATTAAAAGAATCTAAGCTTATTTCTTAAAACTAATTTCTTATGAGTAGTTCAGAAATATTGCATAATACAAAGAATAATCCAAGACTAGTACGTACCCATTTTCATTTTCAGTGGTCAGACTGGCACCCCTGGCGATCAAAATCTATACGAATAGAAAATTCGAGTCATAGCCTCAAAGAGTAAAAAATAATGCATTCATTTAAACTGATTCAGATTTTTTTCCTTCAAATGAAGTACATACTTGACAACATTTGGCATTACCACCGCATGCAGCATAATGAAGAGCTGTGCTCCCAGCACCTATTGGAGTTGTAACAGACAAGCTACTTATATCATCGGAAGGGATAAGAAATCAAACTGTTCAACATCCCATGGGCATGCTAATTCTGGACTTTATATGACCATAGAAACATATCTAAAACGTAACGCCATTAGTTCAGAATCATGTTTTGTTATTGTGAAAAGGAAGATTGACAGATTCGTGAAATGGTAAATTAGGAAGAAAAATAAAGGCTAACATGAAAAAGGTCTCAATTTTCTTTTTTGTTTTTAGTCAAAGAGAAGGCAGAAATTCAAAGGGAGAAACCTATAAGATCAATTACGGTTCCATCGCCCACAGTCACCTCAGAAACAGATGCCCCAAATTCCAGAAGTAACTGCACGCTTTCAACTTGCCCATTAAGGGCTGCCATGTGTAGAGCGGTAATGCCACCATCTGCCGGTTGGTTAATAATCTGAGACAAGGCCCTAAAACACAGAATCAGGAAGTCAATGAACCATCTAAGCATTTCAACCTAGAAATTCTTGAATTTGACATGTACCTATGATCAAACTCTGAGATTGATTCTTCATCGCCCGTTACCTTACTCATTATATCCCTAAAGTTTGGCATGCTTGGAATATAATCAGCAAGAAGAAGCCTGATGCACCGGGAGTGACCATTTGAAGCAGCAAGATGAAGTGCAGTCCCTCCGTTCAAATAATCTGCTTTATGGACCTAAAATGTGCAAGAAATTTATGAATGACTAATAAGTTGCTCACGCTATGCACCAGAGAGCTAACATGAAAGATAAATTTCTCACGTTGGCTCCAAAAAGTACTAAAATCAAAACAACCTCCCAGTGACCCTGTTGACAAGCTTGCATCAAAGCAGTCTGTTGACAAAAGTAAGGAACCCAATGATGAACTCAAGATACAATATGAATTTAATCTTGAAACGCAAGAATTACATCTTAATGGCTAAATGGAAAAGATAATCACGTGTAGTAGAAGATGAAGTGTTTGTGTGTGTGTGTGTGTGTGTGTGTATAATCACAAGCGCGCTGGTCCCTGAAAGAAAAAGTGTAAAGAATGTGAAGAAATTGCAATACCTGACCCCTATAGTTCCTTAAATTAATATCAACTCCTGACTGAAGCAAAAGTTCCACTATCTGCAAGCATGTAAAGGACAAGCACAATGACAATAACCAGTGGGATTCTCTAATCTTAAACGAAGTGAGACCAGCTTCAATAACATTATTAGCAAGCATTTGAAGAGTGAGAACCTCATGATGTCCGTGAGCTGCAGAGTAGTGGAGGGGGGAATTGCGCACACCAAACGTTGAGTAGCGAGCCAATCGTGGATTATACTCCAACAAAGCCTGTGCTTCTTGGAAATCTCCATCTCTTGCAGCTGAAACTAAACGTTCCCCAGATGCAGAACATCCAAAGGAGTTTACCACAGCACTTGCAAGTTTCATGGTATTCACTAATGTTTGAATCCAAAACTGAGGAACTAATTTTCAGAAAATAATAGCTTTAGAGCTCCAGAAAGCTCTTTAAACATGATGATCTCCTTCGATTGTATTTAATAGCAGAGCCAACCCAACTCAAAATATTCAATAGCAGAGCCTACTTCCCAATTTCTATCAATAACAAAAGAATTTCCAAAGACCAAAGCTAATTAGTTCTCATCCAATGAAGAATATCAGGCTCTCAAATCCAAATTTACCTAAAATGTAAAAACTATTTTGAAATATGCCTCCAAGTAACGTAGAAATCACTTTCACCTGGAAAACTCTGCAACTTCTCGGAGAAGATAGCCTAAGAACGAAGCAAAATTATAATGAGCACAGAAGAATGTCGCGACATTAAACGATAATTGCGAAAAGTAAGAACGAAACGTGAATAGGAAATCACAAGTGGGGAAACTGTTTTGATGGAGACGAAGACCTTTTCCTACAATCTCAAACAAAAACTTACAAGAAAGCTGTGTCCCAATGATTATATATTATGTTCGGTCAACTGGGTAGTTGAATTGTTCTTTTCCTCTCCAAGCGTTGTCCCCCGCGGGGGCCTTCCCCTCTGTCAAGATCACTTAAAACATTCTTCAGTCCACCGATTTCTCTGGTCGACTCGCTTGATTCTCTCGAGGACTTCCAAATGATTGCTTCCCTCCATTTTCTGGATTTCGCCATAGTTATTCGTACCTCGTAGAATTCTTGTGGAATATCGAATCGAACACTCGGACTTCAATTTCGGCGCCAAAATCTTTTCACACTCGTGAAAGACGAGGGCAAATTCAAATAGTCTACGTATATTTTGTGTACTTCTTATAAATTCTGATTAAATAATAATGAAAAAAAAATATAAAAATGTCATTTAAATGAATAATGAAACCGTGTAATTAGTTAATATATATATATATATATATATGAAGAAGACATATTGGTCAACAGCGGGTTGTTCAACGTTTCAGAATAATGGAAAAAACGGAGCGTCGTGAGCTTTTATTAATAAGCATGAAAGGGAAAACAAATATAAAAAGTTGCCATGTGGGACATGGGTTTTATTTAATCTTTCCTATCCCAACTCATCATTCCCAAAGTTTTGACTTTTTATTTTTATTTTTTAATTCAAAAATGCATTTTGTTTTAAACTTTTTTTTTCTAAAATACTTTTATACAAAATTTGTTTGATTAGTTTACTAAAAGGATTATACTAATATCAAATTACTATTTATTAAGTTTATGTTTAAAATGATATTTGATAGTTGTCGTCCGAATTAGTCGCTAACAATATTTTTTTAAAGGTATTCCGTTGTTATACGTTTTAACATATAAACAATTGTTCTTATAATTACCAAACTTTATGTTTCCAAGTAAAAACTTAAACACAAACATATACACTCGTGCACATGCAATTGATTGATTTTTGTTTGATATCATCCCATATTTGATATGAGATTAATATTTGATCTTATTAATCATTCTAGACTAAACTAAATATTTAATTAATTCCAATGCTGATTAAATAATCATATCTATCAAAGTGTGGTCCAAAGATAACGGTATATGAGTTTTATTTATATTTTCTTTTCGTCTATCTTTTATAATAGTGAAGTTTTAGGTCGTATCTTAGTCTAATTAATGTAACCACCAATAGTTAAATTTACGTCTTATATTTACTTATTCTAAAGTTTTAAACGGTGTATTTATGTGAAAATTAAATAAATTTTAAAAGATGTCATAAAACATAAAACATAATCTCTGTCTAAACAAATAAAATTTGAATACCCAATGGAAAGAAAACATATATGACATCATTTACTAAAAAAATAAAAAATTTAACACAATATCCAATCCACAAATACAAGTAACTTAGGTTTAAAAAGCCCTCAATCACACATTAAAATTGAGCATTGAATTTTGGGAGCCTCTCGCAATGGGGAGAGGAGGCAGGGCACACGATTTAAATTTGTTTGGACTCATCTACCACGCAAAGTCAAAAGGAAGGTAGCACCACAAGTGAAAGAAGCAGACAAAAAGGTGGAGAGGCCCTTCTATAAGGGGTGTCTGTCCCTGCATAAAAAGTCAAGTGCCAAAATCCAACACAAAAGTTCAATTAAAAATTGTCATTTTCCGTCCCCCCCCAATGAAATACCCTTCGTCTCAAGAAACCCCTTTTATTTTAACTAGATTTTGAAACAGGACCACTGGAGTAAATTTATAGGATGGATTACAGATGCATCGTTTCCAGCCGGAGTATGCCTGCTGTGCTGCAAACCAATTCAATGAAATCAGTAAATGAAGTAAACTCCGTTATTTTACTTGTAATTGAAATCATTGCAATAATTGCGTTCTTGTTTTGTATCCCAGAAACAGCCTGCAAACTGACAGTCAAACCTTTTAGCCACTGATCTGAGATCTAATCTTTTTCTTAAACACTTTTATTACCCTCTTCTCATCTCTCCATCTGTCCCATTTATTTCATTTTCTGATCTCTCTCCAACCCATTTGACTCGCACACCCCAAAACCAAGGCTATGGAGTGACCTCTTTTTTTCTTTGATTAACATGGATTCACTGCTTCTCCAAGTAAACGGAAGATTCTTCCCTTCGCCGCCACAGCTACAGCCTTACTATCTTGATGCACGGCCTCCTCCTTTTGCCCAGCCGAGTGGATTCAACTTGGAGAACAAGGTGAGTCCAAGTATACTCCTCATCATAATCATTCTAGCTATCGTCTTCTTCGTCTCTGGTTTGCTTCATCTTCTCGTTAGATTCCTCTGGACTCCCCCGTTACAGAGAGACCCTGAAAGTTCAGACAATGTTACTGCCTTTCAAGGTCAATTACAGCAGCTCTTTCATCTCCATGACTCTGGGGTTGACCAGTCCTTCATTGATACACTTCCTGTTTTCCATTACAAAGCCATTATTGGATCCAAGTCCCCATTTGATTGCGCTGTTTGTCTATGTGAGTTTGAGCCTGAGGACAAGCTCAGGCTGTTGCCTAAATGCAGCCATGCCTTTCACACAGAGTGTATTGATACATGGCTTTTGTCTCACTCAACCTGCCCCCTTTGTAGATCTAGTTTGCTACCGGATCATTTCTCTCCACATACCAGTTATGCGCCAATTGTTCTTGTTCTCGAATCTGGGAGTGAGAGCTCTAGAGATAATGTGTCGAACACAGAGGCTACAAATCCGATTACAGGGTCAAATTCGCAAGTGGGTCTTGGTGGGGATAGCGAATTTGACGCTGGGTCGAGCGAGATTGGGAAATTAGAGGACTCAAAAGCAACTGTAGTGACTGTGAAGCTTGGAAAATACAAAAATATCGATGCTGGTGAAGGTGGAAGTAGCGGGAACAAGAATATGGATTCTCGTAGGTGTTTTTCAATGGAGTCTTTTGAATATGTAATGGAGGAGAATTCGTCGCTGAAAGTGGCCATTAGGAGCACCCCAGCGAAAAAGCAGCCAAGCAGGAAGCCAGCTCTGCCATTGACACCAGGTTACAGAGCAGCCATGTCCGAATGCGACTGCGAATCCAGAAGAGAGTTCCGACTCAGTGGGATTGAACCGTTTCGAGAAGTGAAAAGGGGCGAGAACACTGATAGAAATTGCAAGAAAATAGACAGTTTCTCAGTATCGAAGATTTGGCTAAGAGGAAAAAACCAGAGAGAAACGCCCACAGAATCATCAAGAAGGGCAGTTTCGTTTCGATTTCCCATTCAGAAGAATGGTGGGGATTGGAATGCTTCAGAGATGGGCGTTTCCAGATGGGAAAATGAAATAATCCGAAATGAAACGGAATTGGATGAAGAAAACCAGAGTCGTTGCAGTCTCGATTCTCAATTCAATCAATCTTTCGCGAAGAGAACGTTGGTATGGCTGATGGGAAAACAAAACAAGGTTACTCACTTCGAATCATCGTCACCTTCATCCTGTATTTCAAATCTCTAATTCTTCTCTGTTAAATTGTTAATTTCCTTTCCTTCAAATTCGATTTCTTGTTCAGATAGATATGAAATCGATTAAAGAAAATTAGTCTAAGCAAAATAATAATAATGGGGGCTGTTGAATTTAGTTGCGATAGAAGTAATTAGATTCAGAATTGGGATTCAGGAACAGATGAACTAATTAAATCGATGGGACATGAAATGCATTAAATATGAAATGGGGATTTAAATTCAAATGAACCGGAAGAAGCAGAGACGGAGGCGAGTTGTAGGGGCAATGGGCTGTTTGCATTTAATGGATACAAATTTTCATTTATTAGTTTCGGGGCTCTAAATAATAATGGCTGAAATTAATGCGGTCACGCCAGATGTGCCGAAATGGAAGGCATTGTCAGTTGGAATTTTTGTTATTTTCTGCTTAAATTATTGAATTTCTAAAATCTCCATCATTTTATACGTATAGATTTTGTTTTCATAATTTAAGGGAAATTTTTAAAAATATTTTTTCAGCACCATCTATTATTTCATTGGTTATATCAATTAAACTTCATAATTTTCGTAATTAAATTCATTTCGACTCTCATCTTAAATATAAATTTTAAATAAAAGAGTTAAATTGATTCGTGATATATTATAAATTTAATTGATATGATTTTATGTTCACTCTAAGAAAAATAAATAATGTTTTGGTTTGTTTTGAATTTTGAACATGGGGGTTTATAAGGTGGGTGGGTAAATTTGAACGTAGAATAATCAATTATTTATTATTTTATTTAAGGGGCTTTTTTTTTTTTTTTTTTTTTAAAGTTAAGTTGGATTAAAATCACATCAGATTTCATCGAAGGCCCATAGAAAATAGGGTTATAAGTGTAAATTACCCAGAACAAAAGAGTCTAAATAAAGGCCCAAAGGGCGGGTTGGGCATCTTGAAATACGAGTTAAGTTATGGGCTACCACGGCCCAAATCAACCATTGGGCCTGTTCTTTTTGGAGAAAATCAACCATTGGGCCCGTTATTGGGCCCGTTAGTGTGCTCATAGCATTTGTTTAGTTATTTGTAGTTATGGGGTTGATGGTATGATGACTGCTAAGTAAGACAACCAATTAATTTAGTAAACATGTCATTAGAAGAAAACAGCAACAGTAGACGGCGGCTTGAATTTGTCCACAAAGGATAACTAATAATTATTAATTTCTGACGACAAAGCGACAAAAACCTGAAAATTATGCCAAATATAAAAAAACAAGTGTCTGAAAAGGGGAATTCAGTTTCAACAAAAACAAGAACAAAAATCATAATAAGGTGAAGGGTTTGGGAGACTGAAATGCTACTTTGAAGCTTTAAAATGAAGGAGAATAATGATGTGGAGGTGGAGGGGAGGTGATTGAGAGATCCGCATTACAGCAAAAAGTGAAAAAAGAAACACAAAAATTCAGGGAAAAAGAGATGAAAAAGAAGAACAGGTGGATGTCCACTTCAACTAGGAGTGCCGGTTCTGGACATCAACTACAATATTTGTAGATTTTCAATGTATATTAATCTAAAAACTATTTGTTTAGTAGAAATTGTTGTTCTTATTGTAATGGGTCATGAAATTAAATTATGAATATGAGACACTGATTTGACAAATTGTAGAATGTTTGTTTGGGAGAACATGCTGATTTGAGGGGAGAACCCACATGACAAAGTTTTCATCGCTGTTCAGAGAACAGCCAATTTCTCACTCAACCATTCCCATTTTGGATCATTCATGTTTGCTTTTAACAAATGACTGAGCGATGGCACAGCAGCCTCCAACACAGTGCTGCAAGAAGACTGGATCAAAAGGGTC